ACTGAGTCCCTGAGCTCATTCATTTCTTTCTTCAATTTGCTCAGCACAATTAAGAGCAACCAGTCAAAATCATTACACACATTAGTTTGATAAAAATATTTCAAGGGTAAAATGCCCATATCTATTCAGGACTTTGCATTTTGTATTTCATTAGGACTATATAATAATATATTTTATGTCTCTCTATTGCCACATTGTGCCATGGACCACTGATGCTCTCTTTATTACTGGAAACACAGTCATTCATTCATGCCCTTACAACTAATTAGAAACTTACAAAGTGAAACCCCAGAAACAATTTAGCAAACTTTTTCTAGGACACTTCCTCAAGAGGTGCTTTCAGTACCAGAATTTATATTATTCATAGTTCTCCAGAAAAATATAAATGATAGTGTGTGTATGTGTGTGTCTATGTCTGAGTCTCTCTCTCTCTCTCTCTCTCTCTCTCTCTCTCTCTCTCTCTCTACGTATTGTCAATAAATATTTCATGAATTTATGGGACTGTTATGTTCAAACTTTCTATGTTTGTATGGCAGAGCAGCTTTCATGAACACAACAGGAATCACTGACTGACAATTTAGCTCAAGCTGAAGTTTATTTAGTAAGTAGAAATAAAGTTTGCCATTAACCACACACTTGCCTTACCCAAATTCTATTGATTAAAGTTTTATTATCATCTATAAAGTACATTAACAAAATCACGTAGACTTGTGTTTGACCAAATATCTAACAACATGGAGTTAAATATAGGACACATTATCTCACGGGCCATATACTTTGCCAAATGTTCTGGCTAAACTTTTCTTACTATTCTCTACATGCATATATCCCAAATTAAGATATGATTATCTCTCTATCCACTACATAAATATTTTCTTTATTTTGAACTAAGTCATTTTTAGTTTTCTTAGAAATGCATGATTCTGATGGGTTTGGAAAAAAACTCAAGAATATTAGGTTAATAAAAATCAGATTGGAAGAAATGATATATTTAAACTCAATAATATATTGAGGTGGAACACATGTATCAGCACTGTTTTTAATTTTAAAAATTATTTATTCTTCTTTATGCAAACTTCCTTACTACTTCTACATGCTGCATATGGCTCTATGGTACACATTCATGTACCTTGTTTAACCTTCATGAATAACCTGCAATCAATAACTTTGTGTGTGTTTGATTTGAAGAACTATTTTAGAATTTATTTGAGTATGCATCCAGGATGTTTACCAAAATTAAATGTTTCTCTATACAAACAGAATTTGAAGTGAACAGAAAAGGGTTTAGTTACTATTGTGGTTCTTTAAGTGAAACTATTTTTTGTCATTATTGCCACTATTATTAGTACAACTGGTAAAAACTAATGACAATCTATTCATTAATTGTAGGTGAAAAATCAAAAGTCACTTACAGTTTCAATCCTGATTTTTTTAACAGTAATTTTTATCTGTATAATCCATGACAGGTGAAGGATCTAAAATATTGTCTTAATTGTAAGAAAAGCATGTTACTTATGGCAGGTTTATAGAGTTTAATGAACACCACAACATTTCTAGGTTAGAGTCAAATAACTTTATTGATTATGAACAGCATAAACACTATTTTTGCACCAGTTCCCTTTGTTAACAAATCCCATGGGGACGATATAGAGCATAGATAAAAGCTAAATGCAATGTGTGTTTATGTTATAAATGAGAAACTAGGAACTTTGGAATATCACCAGATTTAAACCTGTCCTATATTTACCCCTGAGGAAGACATAATATATATTATCCTTATCAATATATGAGTACAATCTATCCAAAAGAAAGATAGTGTATTACATGAACACTTATTATATGGTCATAATTGAAAAGATAGTTCAAACTATGACCATAGAAAAATGAAAGAGATATAGAGAATTTTTTTATCAGTCATGTCTTGATAGTTCATACGATCTCTTTAGTGGGTCGTAAACAGCACATAACATTGTGGAATAAATTATATGAAAACATATTGAGTAATGGTTATATGTTTGGGATTATAATTATACATGTATGCACATGCAGTTCATGGATTATGATATGCTTCTATTTCTTACTTAAGGCCATGATCAGTGAAGTTTGAAATTCAATACCTTTGAAAATATTTAGTTGTAGAATGTATAAATGGGCTAAAAGTTTATAAAAGAAGTAGGGATCTAAAGTTTATATTTTCACCTTATTTTTTTAGTAAGATACTATGAAATAATGTTAAATACATATTTTTTTTATGAAAAGCCTACAATTTCACGAATGTCAAGTTGAAAAGTGTTTAGTTAACTTACATTCTCACATAATTTATGGTGGATCAATAATAACTATTATCTACTTGTACAAAACATACTTTTTATCGACACAATAGCTATTCAAGTATCAAGTATCAAGGTTTCAACTGCTTAACCCAACTGTCTTAGTTTGTTCTTCATTGATGTGACAAAATACTCTGACCACTACCAACTTGGGGAGGAAAGGGTTTATTTAGCTTACATATCCCAGGTCACAGTTCATCTGGGAGCCCAAGGGCACGGACCTGGAGGCAGGAGCTGGAGCACAGGCCATGGAGGAATGCTGCTTACTGGCTTGCTCCCCTGGCCCCTGCTCAGCCTGCTTTCTTATGCAACACAGGCCCACCTGTCCAGGGGTGGCACCACCCACAGTGGGCTGGGCCCTCCCACATCACTCATCAAGAAAATGAACCTCAGACATGGCCATAGGCCAGTCCAATAAAGGAAATTCCCCAACTGAAGCTCCTTCAACCCAGGTGTTTCAAGTTGACACTAAAGCTACCCAGCACACCAACTTAATATTAGTTTTCATGGTCTCATTTTGTTTATCTCAAGAAGAAAACTGAAAGCTCAAGTAACAACCTTATAAATTCTTAAGAATGCAGAAATGATATAGCTGGAGAGAGTCAGCAATAACATTTTGTTTGTATTGTTCTCATGGCCGATAATTTCCCTTTACATTGCCTAAAAGAGTCATGTGTTAATGATGCTAGTCTTTAATTCAAATAATGTATATTAATGGATCAATATTGTTCTCAATTACAAAGTTGAAAAATACAGATAAATAAATAAAATGAGAGATGGAGAACTGGCAGTCACTTATTGATATTATAAGATATTACAGATATTAATGCTAATTAATTAATTAATTAGATTTTTTTAGACAAGTCCTCTCTGTAGCCTGAGTTGTCCTGGAACCCTTTATGTAGAGCATAGATTCAGAGATTCATTTGCCTCTCCTTTCTAATCTTAATTTTCCTGCTAGCGAAATCTCTTGACATGAGAGAGCCACAGTTTTTCTAGAGTCATAAGACACATTATATAATGCCCGTAACTTATTTTTTACCTGCATGTGCCTAACTCCCGATATGCTTAGCCTTCACCAAAGTAGGTCTTGTCCTTTGAATGTATTTACATTTCCATTGCCCTGTCCTGTCCTGTCCCTGTTCCCCTTCCCACTGGGACCCTTTCTCTTCTGAGATACTTTCTATTAAGTGTGTGTGTGTGTGTGTGTGTGTGTGTGTGTGTGGTGAACTCACATTGAGAGGAAAGATGTGATAATTGTCTTACAGAATCTGGCTTATTTCACTTAGATGAGCGTTTGAAAGTTCAAAAAAAATATAAACTCATGGCATATCCTCAGTTCATGGATGAAGAGTGACTCATGAGCACCCACTCCTTGTCAGGAATATTGACAGTTAATTGTTCCTATGGGAAGACAGAGTTATTTTCTTCAGTGCTCTAGTCACTAAAAAGTAGTGCATGTTCTAGTAAAATGAACCTCAAGATCATGTTCATTCAAGCAACCCTAACCAAAATCAATGGGTCATACACCAAAAATACATGAAATTATTGTCAATGGAGCATTGTTCAGAGATGATGCTATTTGGAAGTGAGCAGATCATGAGATATCTGAATTAATTAAATGACCAATCAGCTGAAGAGTTATAATGTGATGTCACAATTTGAGAGGTGCTACATATTTGGAAATGAGGCCTAATTGGAGGAAGTAGGTCACTGAGAGTGTGCCCTGGAAATGTACATCCTGTCTGTCCCCAGCCCCTTTGTGTCTGTGTCACCATGAGTAAACTGTTCTATTTCAGCACATCATTCTGCCAGAATACATTATGTCACCAAGTTCAGACAGTTGATATGTACTGAAACTTCTGAACCTGAATGAAAATAAGTCTTTCCAGGGCTTCAGAGATGGCTCAGTAAAGGGATGGTTGTGCAAGCCTGAGGACCTGGGTTTAAATGCCCAGCACCCAGATAACTAGCTAGGTGCAGTGACACCTGCCAAGTACATTTAGCTTATAACAACTCCAATTAAATATGCTCTTCAAAATAAAGTTTCCATAGTCTACATGGAAAGTCTTCCTAGTATGGAAATGGAGGAAGATATAATATCACGCCTATAATCCCACCATAGGGGTGAGGATGATTTAGAAGGATCCAGAATTTACCGCAAAGAGTGGTACCAAATGAGGTTGAACATTACATTATCTACATGTTGAGACTCAAAAGCATTGGAGAGAATAGGGGATCAATTGGATTGTAGACAATGTGTAGTGAGTTTTATACAAAACACATTATATGTTTGTATGTGATTCTCAGATAATTTTTAAAAATTGCTCCTTCACTACTGGTTGGTGGACTTGCTTGTCTTTGAAACCTAAAGCCACCACTTTTCCTTTTATTTTGTTTTCTAATTCGAAATAAAGAAATATAAGCTGAAACTGATTTTATATTCTTTTCAACACCTCAGTTTGCCCCCTCTAACATCACCCCTCACCCCACATTTCCTATACCCCATGCATCTGCCCCTCTCTTCCATAGTAGCCTTAATATGGAAGCTCTACAATTCATGATTAGAAGGGCTGGGGAGTCATCACATCAATGATTCTAATAAAAACACGATCAATTAACTGAAGGATCAGCTTCGTTTTATTTTGGCCATGGAATTATATGCTGACATCACTTTGCAAATCTTTCTGTCCACTCTCGGGCCAGTTTATCATACTTTCTAAAGTCGTTGCAATAGACCTTCGCAATTTCAGGAACCAAAGCGTACTCCGGGTTCGGATTGCACAATAGGGAGCAGATAGACAGGAGAACTTTCGAAATTGTAAATGCTGGTGACCACTCATAAGTCAAGATATCTAGACAGATGTTTCCATTTTTGCCGATATTTGGATGGTAAATTCGTGTAATGAATGACACCTTCGGGGGATCAATAGGATAACTGGTTGGAAAGTGTATGGTTAGGAAAAAAACCCCTCCTTCGTAGGGACTGCCGTCAGGCCCAATTATAATGGCTTGCCAGTGGAACATATTTTCTCTTACGGGGGCTGCAAAACACTGAGCTGGAGGGTCACCAGTGAAGGCACAGAGCTCCTTCTGGATTCGTTTGAGAGCCATGGTCCCCAAATTATGATGAAGGATCCCCTGCACTGGGCGTAGCAGCTGGTAGATGAATCTGGTGAACAAAGTACAAAGAGACGTGAGAGCTGAGTTACCGGATATTAAGACGGAAGGGTAGGTCAGACTACAAAAACATTACTCAGGGAAAGTAGATTGGGCAGAGAGAGGATCAACGGCTAGAGACATTTTCTCCTCAAGTATACCTGAAAGACTTCCGAACACCTGTGGCTTGAGGCTTCAACTGATGAGGTGTCTGAAGCTAGAGAATCTGCTATAGTCCTTTAAAGGTTGTGATGGCCAGAGATTGCACAGCTGTTAGAAGTCACAGCTGCCCGGAGAGGCCTAAACTAAGCTCTTGCTCCAGGCAGCCTGCCACTGGCTGTGTTCCCAGATGAACAGATGTAAGTCTTGTCAACGAGCAGGGACATACTATGAGGTCACAAAAGGGTGCAATGACAAGGACAATATGACACCCTTCTCGGGTAGAATGCAAGGACAAGGGGAACTCAGGATCTGCATGTGGATTAGTGTTTTGGGGAATGTAGTAGAGGAGCATGATGGACTAAATGGAAAATGCTGGAAACCAGCCTGTGCCTCAGGGCCTCAACCAAAGCTTGCTCTTTGAGCTAGTAAGTATGGTCACAGTGAATGTTCTCTAAAAAATAACAGAATGTATTTTGTAATGATCATATTCTCTAATGAAAACAAATTTAGGATAAAAAGAAAGGAGGTGGAACAAATAGGGGAAGAGATCTAAATATGATTAAAATGTATGAAGTTTGCTAAAACAATAAATAAGTCAAAAATAAAATTAAAATTCAGTTGTCAGGGTTATGCTAGTTACTTATGAAGGCTATGCAAGAATCTGTAATAGCCACTCCTCACCATGTTTATTTTTACTTTCTAGTGAATGAACCCAGGTCCTTGGGTTTACTAGAGAAGTCCTCTACCACTGATGTAAACCTTACCTTACACTTTCTATAGCCTCTGTTAGTCTCTATATCCCTGATTGCGTTTATAAGGTCATTGTTTCTTTATGTTGAAGAATGCACATGCACCTAACTTAAATGCCCATGTCATCCACAAAGCCCTATGGTCTTCCTTCATTTTTTGGGGGGGGTTGTTGTATGTGTGTGTGTCTGTGTGTGTCTATACCCTGTAGTTGTCAACCTAATTTGTCTACATGATAGGTGGTTTGATACATAATGAGAGGAATCCTTCCCTTTTCTGGAAATAATTTCCAAAGAGTTCCTCAAGGTGTGTGTGTGTGTGTGTGTGTGTGTCTGTGTGTGTCTATACCCTGTAGTACAAAATCAAGTATTATTTTCTTTGTTCTATTACTCTAAAGCTTTATGAAATTGTTACTAGCTTGGAATATGACTTTAGAGAAAACTATTTTGCACTGACATTATATACTTCATTGCATAAGCTCTTAATCTCTTGAATTTTCTTAAAAATAAATAGCAAGTTAAAATTGGGCCTTACATTCTATACAATGCTTTAAAATCTCAGCTAGATAAACAGTCTAATCATAAGTTCTATTTTATTTCCAAAAGCATAACACAAGTAATTGTTCTGCCAACTTGCACAAGTATCACATTTTCACCAATGCCCACTGTAATTTTCTATATTTACTTCTTGGCTTTTGCCAAAAGAATCTTTAAAGTATTTCTAGCAATAGTCTATTTATATATTCCTTGAGATAATAATCATACTCGCTACTGTTAATTTTCTTCTGAAACTTCATCATAATGATGTTTAACATGTATGCTCCCAACAATCTATTTTTTTTTCTTGCATATCACTCAATATTATTTCAAGTTCTACATAATAACCATTCCAAAATTACTTCCACAGTTTGAAGTAAATAGATAGCAAGCAGATAATTATGGTTTTGTTAATAGTCAAATATAATCAACTTGAAGGTTGATAGATTTTCTCTTTTTGTGCTCCCTAAAAGTTGCTTTTTAGGCTTTCTTTTCAAGTCTACTATCACAGAAGTAAATTGACTTCATACAAATAACAAAGTGAAAAACAAACAGCAATGAAAGAACTGAACCAAGATGATGAATTATTGGATTATACCCAATGTTTGATAATAAAGGTAGTTAAAAGACCTTTTAAAACTGATTTTCGAATGAAATATTTTTTAAAAAATTATTGAAGTTTAGTGTATTTCCTAAAGAAAATCATCTTTATACCCCTTCCCCTTTGGCACCTTCCCATACCTCCCTTCCACTGGAGTTGGTACCTTCTGTCATTTGTGTTAAGGCTTATCATGTAAAGCTAGTGTCCCCAGATGTTCCTCAGTGCAAGTTCATCCACTGGGATCTAGTCAGTCTATCTAGAGTCCCTCTCTTTAAGAAAATCATACCTTTCTCACCCAGCAGTTAAATATTTTAAATAATGTGTGGTTCTCCCTATTAAAACATTATGCTCCCAAGGCAAAACTTTACAATACTTTTAGCAGAAATACAGTTAGGCATATATACCTGAAAGTATGTGAAATATTTATCAATCAAAACACATTTCAAAAACTTTATAATACTTCTAGTAGAAAAACAGTTAGGCATATAAACCTGAAAGTATGTGAAGTATATTTAGCAATCATAATACATTTCTCTTTTAAAATTTATGAAACAACTATATCCATATTAAATTATTGAACATAAACTTTAAAAATGGCTATAAGCATACTTAATGTAATTATAAAATTATATTTCCTATTTTTCACATTTCAATCATTCACAAAATGTATTAAAATTCATATGGTATATACTGACAAATTAAGGTCTAAGCAATATCTGCCCAGCAACAAAGAAAAGAATTTTCAGAAAACATTTTTACTTATTCTTCCACTGTTTGAAAATGTTGCCCTTTCTCAAGTTATTCTTGGCCATTTCAATTATGTGTTTTATTTTGTGATCATATGAAAAATTGGCCTTTTTCCAATTTTATCCCTTCATGGGCTTTTCAGGTAATATTAATAATACTAACTAGCCTTGATTTTAGAACTGGACATATGTATTTAGAAGAATATAAAAATTCAAAATATTGTGCAATTAATCGAGAGAAAGCATTTTCTAAAGGCATCTTTAACTTACAATCACGCAGGATTATAGTCATATAATATCAATAATATAATGTTTAGTCTGTGTTCTTTTTCTCTATTTGGTACATTATTATTTAACTATTGCATTGACATCTCTTCTCCAACTCGTGAAATTTAGTTACCATTGCAAAAGTATTGGCTGGGAAGTCCTATGGAATTTGATTAGGTTATAGAGCCATTGTGCTAATGAACTGATTAAAGGTGTCATTGAGAGAGTGTTTTATTTAGCTCAGGAGCATGGGAGTTCAGCAGTGTTCATTACTTTCAGCTCTCAAGAGCATTGATTTCCATATGATGCTTCCTGCTACAATATGACATGGTAGAAAGTCCTTCATCAGACGAACTCCCTTAGTATTTGTATTCCCCACTTTTAGGACCATAAGCAAATCAAGTTTATTTTGTTACTACCCACATTTTAAATGAATTATAAATTATCTATTACAGTAAAATAATAACTAATGTGATAATCCACATTCTTTGTGAAATTTACTAGATTTACTATCACTTAGAAGAAAATACCTTTAAAGGAAAACTCTAGGATGTAGTTCCTTATAATTTATTACTATGTAATGTGTTCCATTTACTCTGCTCCCTGCCAAATATTTTAGGTACCTATGTCAGGACAACTTAAAAATCATGTGGCAATGCTGAGGAAGTGATCACACCAATCATGACTGGTGAATGACCCAGTCCTCCCCACTCTCCCACAGTGTCCCCATACTCTCAGACTTAGCTAGAATTAACTTCTGAGTGAAATCCAAGGACACAAATATATTGCTGAATGAAATGACGAAGATAATAGAACATAGACTCTAAAAACTCAATAACTCAATTAGAAAACTCAGGGAGATCCTACAGGGATAGCTTAACCTTTAATCTCAGCATTCCAGAGGCAGGAACAGAAAGGTTTTGGAGAGATCCAGGCCAGCCTGATCAAAATAGTGAGCTGTAGTCCAGCTGGGTCAATAGGGAGACTCTGTCTCAAAAGATGGAAAATGGATGAATAATGAAAACATGGTACATTTGCACAAATTAATATTATTCAGCTCTTAAGATAAATTATGAAATTTGTTGGCAAATGGATGGAATTAGAAACAATCATCTTAAGTGAGGTAACCCAGACTCAGAAGACAAATGCTGCATTTTTTCTCTCATAAATGAGATAGTTTTGAATCCTTAGATACATGCATTTCAATTTGAAAATCCATGTAGTTAACGAAACTACATGATGGGGGTAGGCTTCATGGGAAAGGTGATAAAATGCAGTGATATCAATGGAAAAAAAGAATAATGGAGTAAAATATTTAAAGTGTATGAGGAATGATCATAAAAGGAAGAGGGGGGACTATGTGGTGGAACAACTAATACTAAAGGACTTTAGAAAACTATCACATTAACACCTACCACTATATAAGCTTCTTAAAGTATATACATATACACTATTAAAAGAGACTAAAAGGATTGATCCTATAACCAGGGAACAATGCCACTATCAGAGAACCATAGGGTAGAAAATAATGCCAGGAATGGACTCATTCTTTGGAAGCTGTTGAACACGGAGAGGTATCATAGTTCTTCAAACAGTACTGGCCATTATTCCTGTTATTGGATATCGAACAGAATATAATGCTTAGACCCTATTGCTGAAGACACTGCATACGTGCGTTATAGAACAAGGAGAAATCAAGCCTGTGCTGATCTCAAAGTTTCACCTCTACAGGCTAGCTATCATAGTTCTGTAAAGTGCTATGCATTCTACTGGGGAAAAAAATCATCTACCTTGCCCACCTGAGACTCCTGAAAGGTACAAGACAACTGTTCTGGTAAGATATGCCCACTGTTGCAGTCACAGTACAAATTTTATGAGAGTAGCTGACTACTTTCTGATTGCATTTCAGATGTG